CAAAAGGGAAAGAAAAAACTAAAGTGACCCAAAGATATTTAACATTATACCATAAAAAATATTTCTCTGAAAATGTGGAAGTAAAATGATTCAGGAAAACATCTTTATTGTTCAAGTAACTGATATAAAGCCTACTTAATTACTGGGTTGGCCAAAAAGTTCATTTGGGTTTTCCCAGACCACCTTCTTGAGAGGTATGAACGAACTTTTTGGCCAACCCAATATTTTAAAATCATTTCTAGGGCAAGCTCCCTGATATGACCTAAGACTCTGTGCCACTCTTCTGCTCCTGCTAACCTCTCCACCTCGTAAGATCTCTTCTCCCCTCCCGGGATGCTGATCATCATCTGAGAATGTCACAGGACCACACAAATTGGACCCTTTCAGGTTTAAGGAATGAATGATAATAGTGTTGAATGTCTTTAGAAGTCTATTTCCCTCATCTCTTCCTGACTGTCTAAAAAATAACAGACTGTTCTAAACCATTTCCACACAGGCTGGGGCTTCTGCTGAAATCAAGGAGAAGGAACAAAGTATGCCTCTGTCTAATCAGAGGGTTTCTTTGGACAACAACAAATAGTTAAATGAGAACTGAAATCAAAGTAAAATACATTTACAGCAAGTTAGCACACTTCTCATACTGCAAATTTTGCTAGTATTCAGTAAGCTTTCATACACTGCTGCACATTAATTTTACTCAGTAAGCTTAGCTTACACTTTTGATATTAGCACCATACGTTATCACAAGTACAGATATGATGAGCAACTGAAAACTGATCAACTGAATCAGTATACAAATAGCACTTCTATAAATGAAAATGTATTTTATATGCTATTTTCTAAAGAAGCCTATGTAAAGCAATTACATTTTTTAATTAATTGTTCATTCTGTTCACTCATAAAATTTCTTACTTATTAGTAGATATTTTATAAATGAAGTTAAAGTGGTAGGACTTCTGTGGTCATTTGCCAATATTTGCCTTGAATCAAAACATAGTCTGTATCTCCTTTTACCTGATATTCTTTTAAGAAATACAGTTTTATTTTTTTCTTATTTTGGGAGGGAAAGAATCATTTATAAATGTCAATATCTCTCAAACATAAGCTTTAGAACTTGAATTACTTATTAGTAGAATAAGCTCATTATTAAAAACTCTCAAGAGGTTTAAAAGGGAAAAAAACAGGAGTACAGATAAGCGATTTGGCTTTTCACATGGTTTGGTCTAATGTTGATAATAATCTCTAAGATTGAAATTTTGATAACCTTAAACAGGGTATTTTAACAATATAGTATATACAGAGAAATTGTTCATAAGAGCAGTTAACCAAAATTAATCTTATACAAGGGCTGTAAAACTTCCCAAATTCTCCCTGCAGGTGTTACTTTGGGTCAACTCTTATTTTGTTGTTCTTTAACCCTGACACAGCATTTGGGTAAGCAAGCACTGGATGTTATACTGGATCCCATTACTGTATTATTTGACCTGGGTTATCACTTAGGCCATCAACTACAAAACAGAAAAGGAAAAACAATGGAAATTGTAATGCAATTGTAATTGTAATTACAAATTGTAATTACATTTTGTAATGTAATGTAACCAAGTAGGTGAATGCTTGCCAAGTCCTGGATATTCTATATGCTATCAAATAGGTACACAATGTTACAGGGAAAGGATATACAAAAAAACTAATGTCAAAGTAACACTGATTGCATGTTCAGTCGCTCAGTCGTGTCCAACTCTTTGCGACGCCCTGGATTGTAGCCCACCAGATTCCTCTGTCCATGGGATTCTCCAGGCAAGAATACTGGAGTGGGTTGCCATTTCCTTCTCCAAAGGTTGATTAGGTGTTTAATTTTCATGTGCAAAAGGCAACATTATTCTAGTAGAGTGTGGAATAAAAGCTTTACATAATCTAAAAGAACCTGAAAACACAAAATCCTTATTTAGGTTATTAAGGATTCTATCCTTAATCATATCCTTTAAGTTTCACATATAACTTCTGATTATGGAGAAACTTTTCTGAATATATTTTTCCTCCGAGAAACATACTATTACTGAAAACAAGGAAAAAAAAATTGAGAATATATGTCCAGAATTTCCTTATTTCTCTACCTTCTTCTTATACGAAATTCTGCCTCCAGATGTTAACAACTCATTCCTCTAAATGCATAAATCATGTATCATTAAGCATTATTTTATAGATTACCATAGTTAACAATAATTTTTGTGGCCTATCAACCCAAAGAGAAAAAAATTATCTTTTAAACCAATATTTTAAATAATATTAAGTACACATTTCATAAAGATTCTGAGCCCAATTAACCCAAGGTTGTTTTTTTTTTTTAAATCACAGAACCACAAACTCTGTTCTTACAACCTTCTAATCTGAACGCCAAACTGCAAAATTACATACAAATCCAACTATCAAAAACTTTTTTGGTTTCATTGCCTCAACTCTGCATTTTGTGCTCTTTTCCTCCTAATTAGTATTTAATATTTTCATGACTAAATAATCTTAAGATTATTTCAGTGCCCACAGAGAGACTTAGCTATGTGTTTGCATGTTTTAATAACTGGTGTGACTCACTTTTAAAACTGGTGTGTTACTGGAAACCTGTGAATAAATTACTAAGGTCATCTACTGTTATCGAAAGGAATATTACAAAGAATTCTGTACAAAGATGCCTTCCTACAATGCATATACATATAACATTATTCATTTATATGTTAGGATTTTCCATATCATGTTTAATTAAAATAGGTCATATCTGTAACTTGATACATATCTTTCCAAATTCCACCCTAAGGTTGACTTTAAATGAAGATAATTTATTTTATGCCTTATTGGAAAAGTAAAATGTTAAAGAGAAAGACAAATACTCCTCAGTCCTTGGCTTTTGCTCATTTTTTAAAATGAAAGAATAAAAATTTTTCATGCCTATCATAAAAATTACAATAAGTATGTGGAATTGTGATGCTCAATTTCACACAAAGCCATGCAAACAGGATGGGTATTCTGAAGATTAGACCATTCCAGTTCATATGGTTCCTTTCCCCCCTCTCACTAGAGAATATTACTAAAAAAACCCACACATGGTAGTTAAGTGCAGTGGTTAAAAGCTATGAATATTAGTTACCTTCTCTGAACCTATTAAGCAAAGATAAATTAGAAATGTAAAACTCAGTGCCTGGCACATAGTAACTGCTCATTTATTTAAAAATAAATGTTTAGCTCTTATGATTATTCATCTTAATAATCTGATACAAGTTTCTCCTTCAGCTGATTTATTTAAATATGGAATCTTCCCCCTATATTCCACATCTTCAGAATCACCTCACTCACTAACATATGAGAGTGATACTGAAAAACCTGCCACCTGGAAAATGTATAAAAGATTTTCCAAGATCAAAAGATTAAGGTGACTATGGAAGAGTCAGTCTTTCTCTGAATCATGGTTAAGGAAAGTCTCAAACCTCTGAATGTTCTCTGAAAGGTATCAATATATGGATCTATCATTTTCAAACCATTTAGCAAATCCATAACCTATAGCTTTTTCTATTATGAGGACTGGCTACACTGACACCTACCTTTCAGACATGAGTCATCCTTTCAGAGTTGGGGAAACTGATGGAAAGATGGCTAAATGATTCAGCACACCGCAGCAAAACGAGCTGGTCATGAATTTATAATTTCCACTTGTGTTAGGGGTCCTGGCCCAGCTGACCTCTCTTACCCCTGCATTGCATGGATAATATACAACACCATAATCACGTTCTGTAAAAAGAGTCTCTCAGGAAGAGAGTAATGGTGAGTACCCCTCAGACAAGCTTCCAGAAGCAAAATTATCCATTTTTATGAGACAACAGGTTTGCAAGCCTGGAGAATCCTTACATCATCCAGCTACAAGCTTCATCAAGCTTTGCTTATACTAGGACCAGAGTCAATTCTTACAGTGCTTTCATTTTCTCAGCTGCACAAGGCAGACACCAAGGAAGGCCCGAAGCATAAGAAAATCTGAAAATGGGCAAAGGAAGCCAGTTGGGAAGTGGGTACAGCTAGCCCATGTCTCTCGTGCCAACACTGACCTTTACCAACAAACAACACAGGAGAATAGATTCTAAGCAGGTCCAAAAGACCGAACAGTAACTACAGAACATATTATTACTTGTAAGGAGCCTCACCACTCAAAGTAGGTGAAAACCTTTTTCTAAGGATCCCTATTAGCCCTTCAATAACAAAATATTTACTACGCTAATCCAACGAAATCTTTAGAAATAGATTCCAAACTAGATTAAAGCCTTTCCCATCAAATAACCAAGTTTTTTTTTTTTTTTTTAACAAAGTATGAACTGAAAGTTTTCATCTAAAATTGCACCATCTCAAATGCTGGCAAAGCACAACCATTTTGTGCCCACAGCATGGCCATTCTGCCCAGCAGTTCCTGAGAATGGGACAAAGAAGTGTGCCAGGTTGTGGAAAATGAAATCTCCATTATCTGTGAAGTGCAATTTCCTCATTCAGGAGCTTGACTTTATTTCAGTTTGCTGTGGTAGATTTGACCTTCCAAAAATCCATTTTGGTGGTTATTTCAGTTAAGAGTGTGCAACCCCTGGTTTCTTCTAATGTGGACTGGAGAAGAGGGGGAGGAGGGTGAAAAGGGGTTTTAAAAAAAAGGGGGGGTGAAAAGCGCCTAAACCAGAATACACAATTTCTGGGTATCTTAAAGTGTGTGTGTGTGTGTGTGTAATATTTATATCGTTTCTCCACTAAAACCTTGGAGGGCAGCAGGATAAAAAAAAAAAAAGGCTCACACACAAGATTTCAGGGCTGACCCACGGCGACACCTCGACAGCAGGAGATTCTGAGCTCAGTGAGAGGCGGCCCGGCCCCGAGGTCGCATGGCTGCAGCATAAGCCGCCAGCGAGCCCAGGCCGCGCCGCACGCGTCCAGAGCGCCCCGGCCGTGCGCATGTCCCACTTATATAAAGAGAGGCTTACAGTCCAGGTGCTTTTTCTTGGGGCCCATCACTTCATGAGTGGTGGCTTTGCAGACCGCTCTGGCTACAGCGGAGCCTGTCACGCTGTACTGAGCCGCGGCGATCCGATCCGTGAGCGTTTGGCCCGACATCTTCTCCGGCCGCGTCTACCGCCTCCTCTTCTGCGGGAAAGAGGGGGGGAGGACGGGGGAGGAGGGAAATGGTCCTGCTTTAAGCCGCAGACTTGACCCTTCGAGCACCCAGGCCTTGCCTCCTCCAGCCGCACGGAGGCTCTCTTCTCCGTCCCCGCCCTGGTACCACCTTGCCGGAGCCAGCAGCGCGCTAAGCCCCGCACCGGCGACGCGGTCTGGCGGGGGTTGGGGGGGGGTGGGGAAGGCCTTGAGCGAGACAAGGTCCCCTCCAGAAACCTCAGCGCGGATCCGGCGCCAGCATCATAACAATGTCCCCGAACGACCCTCCACTTCCCTCCCCCACCCTCACCCCCGATGCTGCCCGCCTCACCTCCCCCCATCCCCCGCGCCCCTCTGTCCAACAGCACTTTCCCCGCATCCTGATCTTCGGTGCCAGACCAGCCCCCGTGTGCGTGCGGGTTATTCCCTGGGCGCCGCGCCCGCCCTGCGCCCACCTCTCGCCTCCCCGCCGCAGCGTCTCCTCCGAGCAGCCCGCAGGCTTCGGAGAATGGACCCGATACCCAAGCCGGGGCCGCCTCCCTCCTCCTCCCCGCGCCGCTGCAGCAACCGGCTCGGCCCCCCCTAGGTCGCGGCGGAGATTATCCTAGCGTTGCGCCATGTTACGCGTCCGCCTCCCCTTCCCTTCTCGCCGCCGTCTCCGGGGCCCCGCCGAGGCCCTCCGCCCGGAGCCCCCTCCCCTCGTCCCCGAAGCCCCACCGCAGGGGCCGCCCCGGGGCTCTGTGGAGGCGCCCCAGTCTCGGAGCGCCTCGTCCCTCCTGACAGCGGAGGACCGAAGGACTGACAGCCCCAGCCCAGCCCCCCGGCCGCCCTCGAGCGCGCCGCGGAGCTGTCACCCGGCCGCTGCCCTTCCTCGCGCCTTAGGATTATCCCCTCCCGCTCCCCGCGCGGCCCGAGCACGGGGAGAGGCCCAAACTGGCGCCCCGGTACTCACCCCGCCCCAGGAGCGGCGCTGCCCGCCGCAGGATGAGTGGAGCCCGGGTCGCCGAAGGAAGTCGCGCCGGGTGGGTGTGTGCGGCAGCGCGCGGACCCGGTGCCCCGGGGCGCGACGCCTCCAGCCCCGGCCCAGCCCCGGCCCAGCCCCCGCCCTCCGCTCCGCGGTCCCTGCGCCCGCCGCCCGCGGCCCGAGGAGCCAGCCGCACCCGCCCGCCGCCGCGTCTCCCCAGCCCTCCGCGCTGCGGCCCCATCCCCGCCCCCACCTCAGCTGTGGTTGCTCCGACGAGTCAGGTGACGGCGGCGGACAAACCCGGGCGAGTCCTCCACGCAGCGCCTCGCGGCCCCCTCCCAGCTACTCACACACGCCGCCCCCCCGGGGCCGCGAGCTTCCAGGCAAGGGGGCCGCGCGCGAGCATCCCCGGCAGGCGCGAGCGGAGAGGAGGGAGGCGGGGAGGCCGACGCCCGCCCAGCCAACCACCCTCCGCGAGGCGCCCGGCAGCCCGTCTGCTCCCTGGACCCGCACCCAGCACGCACTGCGCGCGCGCGCCGCGCACACCTGCCGGCCGTCTGCAGGATGCGCCGGGCGGCGGGGGCGTTGGCGCAGCAGGGCGAGCGCGGTCCGCGAGTTCTGCTCCGTGGACGCCGGGGCTGGGGCGTCGTCGCGCGCTGCCTGGAAAAACCCAGCCCTTTCTCCCCTACATTTGACTCGCCCGCCAGCCAAAGGGAGCAGAGGCCTCGATGGGCAGGACGTTTTAAAATGTCAAATTCTGCTGGCCCACAGGGCCCTTACCTGTGTGTCCTCAACTCCTTGGAGCGCCTCCACTTGTCTATATTTTAGTTGGGAGCTGGCGTGGGCAGTTCGTTCTCTAGCCACTTTGGTCTTAAACGCATACTGAAGTCTACCACAAGGACGCATAATTAACAAGACCATCGATCCCGTCCCAGATCATATGCCGAGTAGGTTTTTAGGTGCGTAAGGAAAACTCTTTTGCACTTTTAATTCTTCCCACTTGAATATAGCCTTTGGCTGTGTTAAGTGTATTTGAATTCTATACATGGATTTCTAAACAGGGGTTTGGCTACGTTAATGGTGTCACGTGCTGACAGTTTCTGAGATTGTTATTTACCTTAACCTAAAAAATCTTTTAAATTCTCCCGGTAGAATCGAGATGAAAACTTCACTTGTGAATTTTCTTGCCATTTTTCCTGGCTTTGTTTTATGCTTTCTTTCATTTGGTACAGGGTTCAGTACGCAAAGGCATGATTTTATAATTGTTGGGACTGATTCTAGCATTAATTGAAAGCGTGACGACTGAAGAAACACAACTCAAGACTACCTTTATCAGGTTCTAAATGCTGGTCTTCCCATATCTAGCAGTACCACACCTAGATAGTTAGAAAAGAAAAACTTCCATTCAAAACCTTGTCCTCAAATTTTGTAGCAGCTTTATATGGTGGCACCAAACTGGAATAATGTCATTCTAGTGCTAAGTGGATAAACAAAGTGTGATATATACCACACGTGAAATATTATTAAGCAATAACAGGGAACAAACAACATAGATGAGTCTCAGGTGTACTATGCTACATCAAAGAAGACCAACCCCGCACACTGCTTATGTTGTGATTATATAACATTCTGAAAAAGGCAAAATTATAGAGACAAAGCATGTCAGATGCCAGGGGTAGGGGAAGAGATAGACCGCAAAGGGGCAGAAAATATTTTTGGAGTGATGTAAATGCTCTATATCATGATTGTGATAATAGTTACACAGCTACATATATTACTCAAAGCTTACCAGTTTGTACTCTTACAATTGGTGAGTTTATGGTATGTAAATTATACCTCAATAAATCTGATAAAAAGAACTAGAATGGCAATATCATCAGACAGAGTAGGCTGCATAATAAGAAATATCAGTAAGTTTAAAAATGCACATTTCATGAAAAAGAGGTTACAACAGACAATGCAGAAATAAGATTCTAATGCTATTATGAACAACTATATGGCAATAAAATAGATAACCTGGAAGAAATGGACAGATTGTTAGAAAAGTTCAATCTTCCAAGACTGAGGCAGGAAGAAATAGAAGTTATGAACAACCCAGTTACAAGCACTGAAATTGAAACTGATCAAAAAATCTCCCAAAAAACAAAAGCCCAGGACCAGATGCGGAGAAAGCAATGGCAACCCACTCCAGTACTCTTGCCTGAAAAATCCCATGGACAGAAGAGCCTGATAGGCTGCAGTCCATGGGGTCCCAGAGAGTCAGACATGACTGAAGCTACTTAGCAGCAGCAGCAGGACCAGATGGCATCACAGGAGAATTCTATCAAACATTCAGAGAAGAGCTAATGCCTAGCCTTCTAAAACTCTTTCAAAAAATTGCAGAGGAACACTTCCAAACTCATTCTACCAGGCCACCATCACCTTGATGCCAAAACCAGACAAAGAAAACACAAAAGAAAACAACATCACTGATGAACATAGATGCAAAACTCCTCAACACAATTTTAGCAAAAAGAATTCAGCAACACATCAAAAATCTCATACACCATGATCAAGTTGCATTTCTTCCAGTGATGCAAGGATTCTTCAATATATGCAAATTGAAAGATAAAAACTATATGATCATCTCAATAGATGCAGAAAAAGGCTTTGATAAATATCAGCTGGCATTTATGATTAAAACCCTTCAAAAAATGGGCATAGAAGGAACCTACCTCAACATAGTAAAGGCCTTATATGATAAGCCTACAGCAAATATTATTCTCAATGGTGAAAAACCAAAAGCACTCCCCCTAAGATCAGGAACAAAACAAGGGTGCCCACTTTCCCCACTGTTGTTCAACAGCGTTCTGGAAGCCCTAGCTATAGCAATCAGAGAAGAAAAAGAAATACAAGGAATCCAGATCAGAAAAGAAGTAAAGCTCTCACTATTTTCAGATGACATTATACTGTACATAGTAAACCCTAAAGAGTATCAGAAAATTACTCGAGCTAATCAGTGAATTTAGCAAAGTTTCAGGATACAAAATCAATGCACAGAAATCACTTGCATTTCTATACACTAACAATGAAAAATCAGAAAGAGAAATTAAGGAATCAATCCCATTCACTGTTGCAACAAAGAAAAAAATTAAATATCTAGGAATGAACTTACCTAAGGAGACGAACTGTACACAGAAAATTATAAGACACTGATGAAAAAAATCAAAGATGACATAAACAGATGGAGAGTTATTCCATGCTCCTGGGTAGGAAGAATCAATATTGTGAAAATGACTATACTACCAAATACAACCTACAGATTTAATGCAATCCATATCAAATTACTAATGACATTTTTTACAGAACTAGAACAAAAAAATCTCACAATTCATATGGAAACACAAAAGACCCCAAATAGCCAAAGCAGTCTTGAGAAAGAAGAATGAAGCTGGAGGAACAAACCTTCCTGACTTCAGGTTATACTACAAAGCTACAGTCATCAAGACAGTATGGTACTGGCACAAAAACAGAAACATAGACCAGTGGAACAAGGTAAAAAGCCCAGAAATACTCATGCACCTATGGGTACCTTATATTTGACATGGAGGCAAGAATATACAATGGGGCAAAGACAGCCTCTTCAATAAATGGTGCTGGGAAAACTGGACAGCTACATGTAAAAAAAAATGAAATTAAATCACTTCCTAACACCACACACAAAAATAAACTAAAAATGGATTAAAGACCTAAATGTAAGACCAGAAACTATAAAACTCTTAGAGGAAAACGTAGGCAGAACACTCGATGACATACATCAAAGCAAGATCCTCTATGACCCACCTCCTAGAGTAACAAAAATAAAAACAAAAGTAAACAAGTGGGACCTGATTAAACTTACAAGCTTTTGCACAGCAAAGGGAACTATAAGCAAGGTGAAAAGACACCCCTCAGAATGGGAGAAAATAATAGTAAATGAAACAACTGACAAAGGACTAATTTCCAAAATATACAAGCAGCTCATACAAACTCAAGACAAGAAAAACAAACAACCCAATCAAAAAGTGGGAAAAAGCCCTGAACAGACATTTCTCCAAAGAAGACATACAGATGGCTAACAAACACATGGAAAGATGCTCAACCTCACTCAATGTTAGAGAGACGCAAATCAAAGCTACAGTGAGATATCACCTCACACTGGTCAGAATGGCCATCATCAAAAAGTCTACAAACAATAAATGCTGGAGAGGGTGTGGAGAAAAGAGAACGCTCTTGCACTGCTGGTGGGGATGTAAATTGATACAGATACTATGGAAGACAGTATGGAGATTCCTTAAAAACTAGGAATAAAACCACCATATGAGTCAGCAATCCCGCTCCTAGGCATATACCCCGAGGAAACCAAAATTGAAAGAGACACATGTATCCCACTGTTCATTGCAGCACTATTTACAATAGCTAGAGCATAGAAGCAACCTAGATGTCCATCAATAGGTGAATGGATAAAGAAGTTGTGTTATATATGCACAATGGAATATTACTCAGCCCTAAAAATGAATGCATGTGAGTCAGTTCTAATGAGGTGGATGAACCTAGAACCTATTATACAGAGTCAAGTGAGTCAGAAAGAGAAAGATAAATACCATATTATAACTCACATATATGGAATCTAGAAAAATGGAAGAATTTATTTACAGGGCAACAGTGGAGAAATAAACATAGAGAATAGACTTGTGGACATGGGGAGAAGGGAGGAGAGGGTGAGAGGTATGGAAAGAGTAACATGGAAACTCACATTACCATATAGATAATAGATAGCCAACAGGAATTTTCTGTATGGCTCAGGAAACTCAAACAGGGCTTTGTATCAACCTAGAGGGGTGGGATGGGGAGGGAGATGGGAGGGACTTTCAAAAGGGAGGGGATAAATGTATACCTATGGCTGATTCATGTTGAGGTTTGACAGAAAACAGCAAAATTCTGTGAAGCAATTATCCTTCAATAAAAAATAAATTAATTTTTAAAAAGCACATTTCATAAAGATAAAATTCCTCAAGCCTATGTGACAATCTTTCATATTTATATATTTGAAAAGAAGAGCTTCAAAATGGGCTGAAGCAAAATCTAATAGCGTTGTAAAGAGAAATAGGCAAATCCACAATTATACTTCAGGCCTTCAACACTATTCTATTGATAAGACAGGTAAAAAAACCAGTAAGATTTTAGATGATTTGAAATAACCATTCAGTCAATTCGACTTAATTGACAATTACAAAGAGCTACACTCAAACATTCTTTCTAGGTGCTCATAGAATAGTTACCACATTCTGAGCCATAAAGCTTGTCTCATAAATTTAAAAGGATTGTAATTATACAAACTGCATTCTCTTGCTACTATAGAATTTAACTAAAAATCAATTACAGAGATATCTGGAAATCCCTGTATGTTTGGTAATTAATACATTCTAAATAACCCATGGATCTGACTTCCCTACAGAAAATTTGGATTACTTTGAATTAAATGATTATGAAAATACTACATATCAAAATTTGTGGGATGTAGATAAAAACAGAAATTAGAGGGAAATTTATACATGAACATCTCTCTGCCATGGGTCATAGCAGAAAAATGTCTGAAAATCTAACTATGGAAATGCCATGAAAATTAGTGAATCATGTCAATGGTAGAACCAGCTTTTGAATGTTATTGGTTGTTTTGAAATAAAATCTTACTAAGCTTTGAAAATAGCAGCATATTTCCAGTGGCAAAGATTAAGAAATGCCAAATTCTACATGCACCCCAGTGTTCATTGCAGCATTATTGGCAAGAACCAGGGCATGGAACCAATCTAGATGTCCACTGACAGATAAATGGATAAAGAAGATGTGGTACATATATGTGATGGA